AAAAAAAAAAACTGGATGGATTTTATTGAAAAAGGCAAGAAAAGCTCTATCTGAAGGACAAATGGAACAAAGATAAGGCTGACTGGGGAATACTTTGCTTGCCAGTTTCATTACACTTTACTTCTTTATGCAACCAACTACTGAAATTCAATATATAAGTAGGAATGGCACATGTTCATGTTTTGACATAAACCCTTTTGATTTATGCAGTAGACTTATCTAGTATGGTCTTTTTCTCTTGGCATATTTTCTTGCCCCCCCTTTTAGAGTATCCCATAATTCTTATATTTAATTTTTTTTCCCTTCTCCATTACTAGACTGCTAATGGCACCAGATATACAATCTAAAAATCTCTTATATAAAGCACAGATAAGAGGTGAAGGAGGTTGATTCTTTGTCTGGATAAAATGAAACTGAAAGCATACCTCTATGCATGTGTTTAAATAAAAACAAGTATGTATTCACTCTCTCATTTCACAAGCATTTACTTAAATGTCTAGTAGGTGACATGGTCAAAACAGGAAGAACAGAAAAGATGGGGGGGAACAGCTTAGCAGGATGAATACTGACATACAAAGTATCAGAGGAACAAACAGAAAGGAGTACTAATCATCTGGGACAAGCTAGGAATGCTTCCCTAAAGCAATGCCTACCACAAATGGACACAAAAGAGGAAAAGAAAACCATCCCTGAGCAGCTGAGAACATTCAGATGGCACAATTTTAACAGAATGGCACCTTTAGAATATAATATAGCATACTTGACCTGTAGAGCTTGAATTCCCATTCCAAAAAAGTTATGGTCAGGAAGGTTAAGGTTTTTTTTTTTTCCCCCTAGGATCACCCTGATAGGAAGTAGCAAAGCAGAGACTGCTGGTCTTCTAAGCCTGAAGTGCTTTTTATTACACACTGCTCTGAGTTGGTTGTGGACCACTTACATTGCAAATGCTTTTTTCTGTACTTAATAAATACAAAATATCATCCTTGTTATTACCATGATTACAACTACTATAAATCCTCCCTTGCTGACAAGCCAAATGGCTAACTTCAGGTGTTTATATGATCTGCAGCACTAGCCTTTCACACAAGAAGAATGATGACATAATGAGTGCATGTATCATAAATAGGAATTCAAGTGCCTTCTTCATGGCACACAAGAAGCACATAAGACCAAAAGCTAACAATCCCTCTTTAAACCACATTGCTCCACTAATGTTAGGGTTTATTTCTTTAAAGTTAAAAAAAAAAAGTTATTACCAAGGAGGTGCATTTAGTTTTTAAACTGTTCAGCTAGATACAATTAAAGCAAGCAGTAAAATCATGGTCACAAAATGCCCTATTTTGTTCAAAGATATCCCCATCACCACCATCAAAGTATAAGCCTTTCTAAAACTTACACTGAAAATTCTGAAATAAGAAGATATTTAGTTACCTACATATCTGATCCTTAGTGAGGAAAACCACAAAACCCTAATTTCAATCAAACAATTCTTTCCTTAAAGGGGAATGGATGGCATCTTGTGGGTCTATTTATTGAGTCCTCTTCCTCTAGTCCTATTCTCCCTGCCCCTCCTTACTACCTACACCATTGTAAGCAATGATTCCCATTTTTAATCATTAAGTCCTGAGCAAGCTCAATGTTTTTCACACTAAAAACAGAAAAATGAATTAAATACAGCCCCTATCTGACATTAATTACAAAGGAAAAAAATGATACCTCTTATAATGAAGAAATCCGGTAGATACCATCTTAACCAAGTAATCAAGCAATATGATCAATAATCGGATAAGGTGGAATCATGTGTTCCCAAATATGATGCACTGAGATAGGTAAAAATCATCAATGTAATATTTCTGCTGCAAATGCCTGATCTGAATTTGGCAATAAGGAAATGTTCAAACAGCTTAAAGAATAACTGAGCTGGATAACCAAAAATATCAATGTCATAAAAGAAAAAAAATCTAACTTAAAGGAAAATAAAGAGTCTCCAAAACACAATCCAGTGTTTGATCACTGAGTGGAATACTGGAATAGGATAAAAACAGAAATGAAAGCCATTATCAGGGCAACAAGGAAAATGTGAATACAGGCTGAAAGTTAAGATTTTTATCAATCTCGAGTTTCTTAAATATAATACTTTTATTGCAGTCATCTTAGAATATTCATGTCAAATTATTTACATGTGAAGTGTCATGATGTCTGCAACTAATTCTTAAAATACTTAGTAAAAATGCTACTACTGCTAATAAATATTCATGTGTATACAACTACAAAGAGAAATGCCAAATGTACTTTAGCAATTGACTGATCTGAATGAAATTCTGTATATGCAATCCATTGTCCTATTGCAAATTTTTGGTGAGTTAGACCTTTAGAAAACTATGGACTTGGTGGGAATGTGAACTGAACAGTACTTAAGTAGAAGAAAAAGAAATTCTACATTCCATAAAAAAACAAGCGCATCATATGTTTCTTGACATATCCAGTCATCAATTCATAGGTCAAGATTTTCTTCAGAGTGGACTATCAGTAGCAAATGTTGAGCCAAGGCAAGTCCTTCACTCCACTTTTTCTACATGCCCACTCTCCTTGCTGATGCATAATAAAGAATGAAACCTTCCAAAACAAACCTCCCAAATAAGGGAATGCAATACAGAAGAGAAATGATGACGATTTTCATAACATTAACCATTTGAGACTGCCCACTTTAACACTTCCTTCAGTTTAATTATTAAAAGAAAATCAACTGTAATTTTATAATACATCTTGAAATAGTACTCATTTATCTTTCTATCATTACTCAAGTACTTCTTTTGACTTTATTATTTGTAAAATGTTGCTTAAACTGGACCACAAGCAATACCTTAAATCTCTAGTTTGACACCCCAAAGAAATGATGAAGGTGCCCACAAAAGAAATGCAAGCATAAGCAATTTTTATTTTTCCCTCTACCATCAATTTTTAAAAGTTGATAATTACACAATGAATGGCATCAGTCAATCAGCAGCTAATCCCTAGGCTACCAATGTTCACCCTGCCTCAGGTGTTATTTAAGCAATAAATCCTAACAAGGTGTGCTTTATCATCCCACAGTGTGTCTCTGGCAGGAAAGGGCACAAGGTGATAGCAAAAACCACTAGGAACAAGATAATTCCTGACAGCTGCTGCTTGAGCACAAGTTAAATTGAACAGTTTATCTCAGCATGAAGATGTTATAAGGTTTTATGTTTAATATTTTTAAATTAACATAAAACCCAGAGAAAGCAGTTGGACAATCTTTCACAAACATGACATACTACAATCACTGTATAAGCTGGATTAGTACTTATTACCATGCTACTACAGAATTAAGCTGTTTTTAGACCACCAAAGAGCTTTAAATTGCAACTTTTGTCTCTGTAAAAGAAACCTATATTTAAAATGTCTGCTAAATTCAAATTAATGGCTACATCATTAGCTTGCTATTTCACCCAAAGTACTAGTAAGTTGCTATTATAATCGTCTAACCAAAATGGCTCTATGCTGCAAGCATATTAGCAACATTCCCCGTATTTGGGATAGTATCCATATACATGTTTTGATTGTTTCCAGCTCACATTGTATCTATAATTTGAGTCATATTTGCTTAAAGAATACAAAACAATTTAACACAATAAAATTTAAGATTAGGGATCGTACTTTTTTTTTTTTTGCTCAGTTTGAATAACCCAGTTGTCTGCTTTTCACCCTATTTCTATGTAAAAAGAGATGCCGAAATATACCTAAGTCCTATAGGAGTGTGAGCATTATTATCAAGATGCTAGTTTTATATCTTAAACAGTATGGAAGGAAGTGAAATAAAAACACAGAGGGCATACATTCAATATTCCAGCCACTGCCCATACAATCTAATAGTAACCCTTCATGGGCTAGGTTATCTCACTTTTGCCCCTTGAAATCTTTACAACAGGCCCCCTCCTCCCTGAAACCATTTATCACATAAGGGGAAAGAGTATATGATTTAACACAGATAACAGTTTGAGCTGTGTAACTCATCTTAAATACTTTTTTTGTATGGCTTCAGCAGCCCTTTGACAAAAAGAGCCAATTCTTCCAGCTGTGCCACTTTGTTCAATAACCTAAACTCACAATATGGATTCATGTTGTTCAGCCTCATTACCAAAGTTTCTGTTCTTTCCTTCCCTCTCTGGGGTTCTTGTTTGTTAATACCTACTCTGCAGGATCCTAGCTACTATACTTTCTGTGATGATGGAAAAGTTTTCTAACTCTACTGTCAGTATATAACGAGCTACATATAGCAATGTAGCAATGAGTACTTTCAATGTAGCCAGTATCGTTCAGGAACTAATACCTTATTTAATTTGATCTGATTAATTTAAGTTTAAATTTAAATGAATAGTCATATGTTACTATTGGCTACCATATAGGAAAACACAGCCCTAGATACCCCAGCTTTCCTTAACCATCTCTCCTTTATCCATGGAACCCTAAATGCAATTGTTTGCCTAACTGATTTTTCTGAGCAGATCTTTGACCCACTTGTGATAACCTAATTTCTAAGTTTCTCTTGATTACTTCAGTTTTGACTACCAAGCTCTCCAATCTTGAAAGACACTACAT